ATTTTTGAAAAGATATAAAATCCTTAGGCAATTACTCGGTGGATTCCTATGAGTGAGAGAGCAGAAAGACTTAAATCCAGGGATCATAGATCTTCTGATTTTTGGAACTTTTTCTGTCTCGCTTCTGCTCTTTTTTGCCCTGAGGTCTACTGCTTTTCTGATTTTCTACTTCTTTTTCTCAGATTTTTCTGACTTTCGTGTTTTGAATCTGGGATCCCTGCTTAAATCCTTGCCAAACTTATTATCGCAAAGTTGAACATTTTTCCTTTAGCTATTCTGGGTATCAAAAATGGGCCTTTCTCAAGAAGTGTGGATGGGATATGATTACTTCTCTGATGTATTGTATCAATTAATTTATTAATTGAGAAGAACATAGGAATAGAAAACTTCCCAAGATAGAAAATTTCTTGACTGAAGTCCCAGAGCTTATTATTAACTTCTGAAAAACAGATCGAGCATAGTTCAATATTATGGCGGGAAAGTGCAAGGAGGGTTTACACGAGGCATTAGAGAGCTAAAATTGCTGTGTACTCGTACGGAATCCTTTGTCTTTGATGTATGAGTTTCGTAAAAACATGTCTTTTTCATTTGCAGATAAAGATTGTGGGGTCCTAAAGGGATCATGGGGCTAATAAAAACCTCAAAAACTGTTTACATGATGTTCTCGAAGGAAAGTCCGAGTGAAACATGATGTAATCAAACCTGAAAAAGCTATAGTCACTTTTAACGCCGAGTATAGTTAAATGCTGATGACTATCCAAAAAGCAGGCCCTGTTCTTGATTTCAATGAGGGTCAAAAAAGAGAAGGGGGATACCCATAATATGCAGAGCCTAAAACTTGAATGAATACACCGATTAGATAGAATTGTGTCGCTTACGGGTTATGAGGGTGCTGTTTCCGATGATCATATCAAAAAAGCTTTTATCTTAATTGCCAGTAGGGGACATGAAAACGATCATTAAAAAATATCTTTTAGCTTTTCAAAAAGTATCCTTGTTGGAAAAAAGTTAAAATGGTGACAAATACATTTTCTTCGCTATGCATTTTTTATTTTGATCGTTCTCTCGTTTCTCTTTTACTGTTGCTTCGGCTGCTAGAGTAATGTCGTTCTATGGCTAACGTGACCAACAACGTTTATTCATTTTCTCCATTCTTCACTTTCTGGAAGAACGGATTCTTTTTGCGACGTTTTAAAATTATTCTTATTTGTTTCCATCGTTCTCTAGAAATAGTATATATTCATCCTCTGTCAGCGCACAATACAATCATTTCGACTGCTCTAAAGTTTACATAAAAAGTTCATTATGGCAGCAAATCAAGAATCACCAGGTGGTACATTTGGTCAAGTCGTCGGTAGCCAATCTGGTCAAGAAGGCATGAGCAACAAAGCAACAGCTTCTGCCAGTACCACAGGTGGTACAAGTACGGAGGGTAACAAAGAATCACCTGGTGGTACAATGCACAATGTAAGCGACGTTCATACTGGAGGAGGATCAGGATCATCGGCACTTCAACAAGGTGGTACAAGTGAAGGTGAAACGGGTAAAACACCCTATTCACAAGGCACCGGTCATACTTAACAACGTGAGCTCCCACGCGAGTGTTATTGATGATTAGAAAAAATGAACTAACTCTAAGTGAATAAACGAACAATCAGATCCACTATCTTCTCGAAAAAATGTTCGATTTTTTTTGTTTCTATGTAAATAAATTTCAGTTCATCGATTTATAACACTATGTGATTGAGTTTAAAAGGGTCATTTTGAGAGAATATATAAGCGTAGTTGCAAATAAAAGAAAAGAAATTCTTTTAATTGCATACTACTTGAAAGAAAACATGACATGAAATCAAACACTTATGTATACCTCATTACAACTATATACATGTCGATATTACAATTGTACATTTGACCGAAAATTGTATAAATATTTTTCAACGCGTAGGCGAACATTTTCAAATGTCTTTTTTTAAAAGATCTTCTTTACGGCTTGTGTTTTCTTTTCATAGTTACATAAGCCAACCATCAAACGCCTTTCTCGAATTATATCCGATAGCGGTATCTGCTAGTATTTAAGATCAACTTTGAGCAAGTAAATGAATTTGGTTGTACTGCGATAACCAAGCTGTCGTGCATATTATTAACAGAGGTCGTTGTCCTCTCATTATGAAACTGATGAGAAAATTGATATTGATTTCAGCAACACATTCTTTTCATATCACAGCCACTTATCTTTCTACAACGGGTAACCTAATTGCGGATTGCCTTTCACGTTCTAAGATAGACGAATTTCGTCGTTTGGTCCCAACAGCCACGGCTTATCCAAGATCGATTCGACCACCGCAAGACTTGATGTTTCCTTGGAGCTAATAGACAACATCGTGAACGAATTGTTAACGCACTCATCAGCGCGATCGACGCGGGCCTCGTACACATCAGGGTATAACTCTTTTCCAATTTTATAACAATGTCCGGAGTTAATGATAACTCAATAACACCTGATCTGCTAATACGTTGTATTGCCTATTGCCATGGCATCAAAAAATACAATAGTCCACTATGAAATCGTATTTAGCGTCCATCAAACATTTTCGTATGATTGCAGGATCGAATAATCCATTCATCGATGAACGCGGATTATCATTTGAACGAGTTCAAACGGTACGCAAGGCCATCAAACGAATGCAGTTCGAACATCCAGATTAACGACTGCAAAAAGCATCAAGTCTCTTGCCTTAAGAGATTTCCGAATTTTTGCTGATGGCTCTTGAAGACTCAGTTTTCTGGAAAAACAGTTTTTCAGAAACTCTAAAAAATATCCAAAACCTTTCTTGATGAGGCATGATTGTAGTCCGTAAATTTCTGATTAAAATGAGACATCTCTCAGTTCTAAATGATCTTTCTTTCCAAAGTTATAGAATTTACAAGCAAAGCCCTAAATGTTCATTGGCAGCTCATAGCTACAGAAAAAAATTAATTTAGAGGTTTTCGTGTGAATTCTATAACGTTGGAAAGAAAAGTCATTTAGAGCTGAGAGATGCCTCATTTTAATCAGAAATTTACGGACTACAATCATGCCTCATCAAGAAAGGTTTTGGATATTTTTTAGAGTTTCTGAAAAACTGTTTTTCCAGAAAACTGAGCCTTCAAGAGTCATCAGCAAAAATTCGAAAATCTCTTAAGGCAAGATACCTGATGCTTTTTCGAGCGGAGGGTCTCGTTTTTGAGTTCTCTTACAAACGAATTTTTTGCAAAGGCTAAGAGCGATGTGGAGAAGTTCAAAGATACGTTATCATATGCAGTTTGACACGCTGATTCAGAAAAAGTCTGTTTCAAAGCTCCAAAATTTAACCAAAAGAAACAACAAGCAGAACATCTGAAGTATAGGTGTTTCCAATTTCCGGACACTTCTTAGTATTTCGCAATTTTCATCCTGACGGAAAGGTCGTAAAGCAAAATGAATGTAATATTCGGATTCAGCTCGATTTCCTCTATCAGAATATGTCTGTTAAAGACAAAAAGAAAATAGTGCTTAAACTTTGAATCACGGGCGCCTTATAAGAGGTAACAGTTTATTGCAGATTTTTTAATTCTGGTAGCTAATACGGTGGATTCGAGGCCATGATATGAAAGAAGGAAAACTATTTTCCTTCTAGATGTACTTTTTATGGTTGTTTAGTAACCGTTTTCCTCACGATGATTTCTCCTTCGTGTATTCCTTTATCAACTAGATACTACGGATAACCATTGATAACTAATGTTTGTTTCATTAATTCAAGTTCACTATCTTTTAGTTTCTTTGTTGAACATATAAGTAAGGTACGAATGACTAAGGTTCTAATTCAGCTTAATTTATATTCTCATGACACAAAGGGTAACTTTATTGAAAATGTAGAAAAAACAAAAAAATTTTATTCTTTCCACTCCGTCTACTGGAAAAATGAAAGTCATTGAACTTGTCCCATTTGGATATAACAGACATATTGTTTCTCTTAAGGCACAAAATGTTTAATGTTGAACAATTTATGAGAAATTCACGCAACAGTGCGAAACTGCTGTCCGAAAATTATGAGTTTTATTTTGAAAACTAAGAACTGTGGTAAAACTCTAGTTGCAGATATACCTTTTCAGTGGCCACTAAATGGCTAACTAGATCTTTCTATACCTCAATAAGCACCAAGTTGGTACTATTCGTTAATTCAATCTAAATAAAGAGATAGTCGTAGCTTCTTGAATTCATTACTGAGCGAGAGAAACTGTATACAATCGATTTTTTGTCAATTATTATGTTTTCACGTCTAAACTTTCCTTTTTGTAAATGTGAGATTCTCCAGTGCTGTTCTTTGTTCACCAAGATTCAGATTACATACCAAACCTATTACAATTTTATTGTATCACTAATCGAATGAAACAGTACTTCACGTTCATATAATATTGGTACTCAATGAATGAAGTATAATAGTGAGAAACATGATATGCTCTTGTCAAAACAATTGTTATTTAAGTAAGTAAATACCAAGGTCATAAATGAAAAATATCACATTTTGATTTTAAAATAAAATTTCGTGATATGAGTTTAAGAACTTTGATAATAAAACAAAAACTAATCATTGAACTAAGAATTGTAAAAAAAAATTCAAAATATTATCTTGCCATCGTTTCGCCTTCAAACATTTATATGGTATTTGAGTTAACGTCTTCATTGCGTACGTGGGACGTGGTGTCCATTGCGATGGACATAACCAATAAATCGAGTTATTTCATATTTGGTTGAATGATGCGGAGAAAATTTTATAGATAGTAATGGCAACGGTTTAGTACGTTTTGATTGCTTCATAAGTGGAACGGCATCAGAAAAATATTTTTGAAAAAAGTTAATGATTTTTACTTCGACTTGAATTGAATTAAAAATATTCAATGGTAAAATAAAGTTGTTGTAAATGATTTACTTGGAGCAGCTATTAACATGAAGTCTTGCCATAGTCAAATATATAAATAACTTATGCTCATTATAAACTAAAAGATAAACATGTTCTATATGATCTGCTGTCGTCTTATGAATTCTTCTCACGGATCCTATATGTAGAGTCACTTTGGTAGAACAGATCGGTTAAGATGTATATATTGAAGAGTTTCTTTCAAGATTTATACAGATATAAGTATAGAAAAGGGTCGTCAGCCTTTCAGTTGATTCGTATCTCTGATTGTTCCATTTAGCTTATTTGATCGTCAATCGTTTGAGGTATAGGAAGTTCCATGTAATGAGTCGATGTATAAAGATGATTTTCTAATGACAATTTGTTCAATGTTCGCCGATTAATCAATAATAGGTTCTAAAAGATACTGAAATAAAAAAATTATTGAAAGTGTGAGAAATAGATATTCCCTCACTTGATCTTTCAAGGCACCATAGAGAATTGGATATGTACGTTAGTCGATTTTATGAATTATACGTATGCACATCGGTATGTGTATGTCCTGAAGTTCTTTTTTTGCTTACTCAAATTATTTCGCTCAGAAAAAAGTAATCACTTAATAAAATGTTGTTAACGTTTGAGCACTGAGTTATTATTAAAAAGAATTTCAATCCGTTCACCATTCGTCACAATAATTCGGTTCTTGCTTAGATCGATCGAGAAACGTGTAAAGAATATTTAATATAAATACGTAAAATTCAAAGAATGTAACTCAACTTTGTGAGAAAATATATAAAACTTTTGTTCTTTCCTTCCCGCTATTGACTAATTGGTGCTAACCTAGCCTACTCCACTCACTTACTACTCATTTCCGAAATAACGACTCAACGAAAAGTCTATGAAGAAAAATGAAAATGTTCGTACTAGAAATTTTTGAGCTATGAGCTGGTTTTCTAAAGATCTCTTTGAAAATATAGTTCAATAAAATAGGTTTTATCTAGTGTCTGTTATGCAAAGATGTCCCCAGTAGGGATGCAACGGTAACGGTAACCGCATCTTACCGG